ATATCAGCTCCCACCAGCGCTTGAATCTTATCCACCAAATCCTTCAGTGCCTCAACTGGCGAGGAGGCGTCCCAGACGATGGCAACACGCTGGCCAGGTGCGATTCCGTACTCCCCCATTTCTGCAGCAGCACCAAACCTGACAGGGACAGACGGGAGAATGGGTGGTGAGGGAGAGATGGACAGGAATGAGACGGACAAGGCGATTAAGGGACTGGAGCACCTCTTACATGAGGAGAGGCTGAGAGAGCTGGGACTGTTCAAGCTGGAGAAGGCTCTGGGGGAATCTTATCAAAGTGTATAAATACCTGATGGGAGGATGGCAAGAGATGTCGCCACCCTTGGAGATATTCAAAACTCAACCGGATGCAGTCCTGGATAACCTGCTCTAGATGACCCTGCTTGAGCAGGGAGTTGGACCAGATGCTCTCCAGAGGTCCCTCCCAATGCTAACTATTCTGGGATTCCGTGAAGAAGGCTAAGAAAACCAGAAAACCTCCAAGGAGCGTGAATTAATCCACAGAGCACTGTCTTCTTGTAATAAATGGGATTATTTTCAGAAGACAGGCAGCACAGAGTCCCCACAAGCTGAGAGTTAATGCAGCATTAAGAAATGTCTACAGTTAAGAGCATAACTGAGTTTCTCTCTAGTTAGGAGGTCTGTTTCTTAGGGAGACTGCAAGCCTTGTTAAAAAAAAAAAAAAAAAAGAACTTGCCTACTTTCCTTAAAGATTTGAATAAAGACTTATACAGAGATTTCTAGAATTCCAGACTAGTGACAACTATTTGACATTAAACACTAGCTTGTCACTTCTGCTCTGAACATGACCTAGTGGGTGTACGTTTCCACTGTACATGAGAATAAGTGACATGTGACAGCCTTGAGAAACCTGTCTCTGCACCAGCATTTTAATAAATATCATATTTCTGATGGAGTCCAAAGAAAACGTGCATTACAAAGGTATCACTTATACAGCTCATCATATGGTCACCTGTACTTAGAGAAGCACAGACTACTGAAACAAAAAGTCCCCTGTACACATAAGTGCAGACTACTGAAACAAATTACCTAGCCTCTTTCACTTCACTCATCCAGTCCAATCTACTTCCTTTGTAATTTAACACAACCATGGGGAACAGAGAGCACTGTGGAACATGCTAGTTGCACATTGTTTCTTCTGATCAGATGCAAGCTACATGCTCGCTTTGGCAGAGCCAGTTATATGCAAAGTCATTACCAGAAATCAGATCAACACTGGGCATCGTGGATATCTACCAGAATCACTGGGCATTCTGGAGTGCCATAGTTGAGCCTTCCCCTTGCAGTATCAATTTGCATCCTTTCAAGGCAGCCTCACAAATAAGACATCCCAGGAGGTCTCAAACATAATGCCAGCACAGTATAAGGAGAGTGATTTCAGTCAGAGCCCAAGCTATATAAACAATGATACCAGTCTGCATGCACCCCTTGAAACATACTCGAAAGAAACTGGGAAGCTACTGGAATCCTCAAAGACATGATGTTACAGCGTGTCTTCAGTTAGCGTAACGGCTAAGAACGACTGTCAGACACACACAAGTTAAGCTCTCCATGTGGCCATGGGGGAATACTTTTGGCCCCATAGCTTCCAGTAGTAGGAGGAGCTTATTTAAAATGCAAGGTTATGTGTAGCAGCCTACACTGTCTTCATTCTTTTAAACATCTCCAGCTTTAGAATACAAAGACCTGGCTTGCTAAGCCATCACAATGTTTGGCTGTGTCATCATGGATAAGATGAGCACTAACTTTCTTCTGTCACAAGCAAGGAGGATTCTTGCCAGTTACAATTAGGTTCCTTAGTGCCACATCAGGGAGGTGGCTGGAGGACTGAGCAGACAGTATGCTGGGGGAAGGGGGGTCCTTATCTTAATTTCACATACATTTAACAGCCCTTGAGGCTCAGGACTGTTACTCTCCAAAACAGGGTGAGGAAAGAGTTTTAAACAATAACGAAGGTTTCCAGCTTTGATAGCTTAACAAATCTTCTGTTCTCCAAGATATCCCGTACATCAAAAGTGCAAACTGAAGTGTTCAGAGAGCTCAGTGTCTCATGGTGCAAACCAAGAAGCTTCTGGTGATCTAAGACTCAGTTCAGTGTGGCAGGCAACAACTAAACTGGATCTATGGTTGCTGAATGTTTTAAATACATTCCCTCATGCAGAAAGGGAAGACTAAACCTCTAAGCCACGGAGCCAGAAATAGTTTGTAGGCTTTTGGAATTAGCTACATGCAGGAATTTCACAGCTGGGATGAAAAGCAAGTATTTGAATGAATGGTAATAAAAACTAGTTTCTCAAGGAAAACAGGAAATATTCCAGTTTATTTGAGAAGAGACATGTTCAGCAGATAAGTCACGAGGTTTCATTTCTTGCTGGCCTGACAAGCAGCTAACAGGCCTGGGAGTTGCACAATGATGTGACGAACATCATCAAGGTTATTTCTTTGACTTCAGCCACAGCAGCTACGTGGTCATGAGAAGCCTTGGGGCCTCTCAAGCGCGAAGGGCTTCCCCCCCAGCCCAGCTCTCTCAACCGCTGCTTCAGACAAAGGCCTAGAGCCTTTGATCTCGGGCTACCTGTCCTTCCCAGCACAACGCTGACGGCAGAGTAAAGCTGCAGAGGCAGAGTAAAGCTGCTGGGAGAGGCAGGGAGCTTTCTTTTGAAGCTGTAACTCTCTCTTTGAAGGTGAAACGCGCCGTGCTCCCGAGCAAGGAACCTCGGCAGGTTTCACCACGTCGGGGCGGTCGCCCC